TACCCGCCGGGCCCCTCCTCCCCGCCCCCCCCCCGCCTGGGGCAGCTGAAACTGACACTGCCCCGCGAAAAACACCTTTGGATGCACTCTGCAAACATAACAGACAATATAATTGTATATAAAAAAATGCATATTTTCAAAAAAATATGCAGATGTATACACAAAAATATACATACGTATGTACAAACAAAAATCTATATATAACTATATATACACACACAAAAATATACATATATAAAAATATATATACATATACTCTTAGGAGTAACCCTTTGTTTAGAAAAATCCCCCCCTTTCCTGCCCGTTCCCCAACCTTCCTTCCCCCCCCCCCCCCGCAGCCTCCCCCTGAATAACACCAGTAGGCAGCGCTACTAGCGCCACAACATCTCGATCCCTCTAAACCTGTCGCCAGCCTGATCGACGTCAGGAGGAACAGCCTTCTGCCACGAGAAAAGGCTCACGATGAGCCTGATGTATCCTACACCCCTACGTCCACGGGTTCTACGCTATGATGAACTATGCAACGCAGAACCAAGCCTCCGGCATGTACATTAAAAATACAGTCAAATTTCCACACCCACCAGAGGATACGCATCTTGATAACAAGTCCGAGCATCTTCCTGAAGTTGACTCGCGCCGAGTTCGATCTTGCTTCCTCCTGCAGAGACTTTATTTCCAAGAGTCTGCGATACCATCGGGCAGTCAAATCCGATATGGGAAGCCAGATGTCGTGAAAAACCTTGCGGGGAAGCGCAATCGCTTGCTCCTTGAGCCGCCTCAACATGACTCTGTCGAGCAGCTGCCGAATCTTGTTCAAGTCTTCCTGCTTGAACATCGTGTCCACATCCATGTCTGCCAATGCTGCTGCCTTTGAACGACTTCGCGCTGGCTTGGCACCAGATTTCGCCGCCGCAGTTTTTGCATTTTGAGCGAATGCCTGCAGGCTCAGACACGAAGGCAGACGTGCACCAATGTCGGCGCACGAAAAGTTTTTTGCTTCGCATGCACCAGCACCAAGCCCCACCCCCCTCCCACGGCAGCACCCACACATGCACATCTCTAGCAATAAACACATTTCCATATCTATGCCCTTGACTCTAATCCCGCGTAGACAAGCTTTCGCTAAAATGATACGCAGTGCGAAACACCGCCATGGGGCCTTCTTTTCATGCGCAAACCAAGAGACGCACTTGCTCAATCACGAGCGAGTCGCGAAAGACGTCTGGCATCAAGAAGTTTATGAGCGTAAATAGCTCCTGCGCATTATTTTGCAACGGCGTGCCCGTGAGGAGGAGTCGCATGTTTCCTTGCACTCTGTCCAGAGAATGCCGAATCGCTCCAGAGGCGTTCTTGATGCGATGCGCCTCATCTGCAGCGAGCCACAAAAAATCAAATTGTGAAAAAAGCTGCAGACGGAAGTTCAAGCCCAAACACGGCTCCCTAAAGGCGGTAGGTGGGAGCGAAAGCCTTGAGGTGTCACGACAGCCACCACTGGAACGCCCTCCACGTCTCGCTGCTGCCTCAGCAGCAACAGCAACAACAGCAACAACGCTCCGCTATGTAAAAAGCGCAGGGTAAGCTCCATCACCAAGAACGGCAGGCAGCTCAGCCGCATGCGGCGCTCGATTCGACAAAGCCTTCTCCCTTCCCCCCCGTTCCCGCTCAAGCGTCGCATGTACCGAGCACGATGCATTGCCAATGGGGAATCTGCTCCACGAAGAACTCCTCCTCGCTCTTCACCGTCTCGTACGTTGTCACATACAAATCATAAAGCCCTTTGGCTGCCACTGAAAACATTGCCACAACACGCATCAACACCCAGCGACTCTCCGCGACGATGTGTCTTGGCTCCTTTCCCGCATCCCGCTAACGCATCCCCATATCAGCAGCAAGTACGAAGGCACCAATCCGCATTAGAAACTGTCTCTCTCTACCTCCCTTGCACTACCTATCTATCTCTCCATCTCAATCTCTCCCTCCCCCTGTCTGCGAGAAAGCGAAAAAACGACGGCCAAGAGGCGCCTCGCATTCGAAACAGAACGCCGCTTCTGCGTTCTGCTGCCTTCACCCTCTCAAGCAAGCAAGCCTTTGCCCCCTTCCTTCCTCTTTCTCTCTCTTTCTCTCTCTTTCTACCCCAATCTCTCCCCAAGGCATACGTCTGTCTTGCATGGCGTGTTGCCGCTCATTCCGCGAGCCGCAAATCTTGATGTGGGTTAGAGAGGGGGTAAAGCGATGAATCTCATGTAGCCAATTGCCAACCGTAGACAAGGGAACAACAATCAGATGCGGTCCGTCCACCTTCATCGCGCTTAAATAGGAGAGAAAACACAACGTCTGAATTGTTTTACCAAGCCCTGCATGCCAACCCCCGCACACCAAGCAGCATGCGCAGCACATGCAGAAAGAGCGCCACTCAGCCAGTCAGACAGCTGAGTGGGTGTGTGTGTGTGTAGCAGAGAACGCGAAAAAGCAAAAGGAACGCTAGTAGCAGCAGCCACGCAGAGCAGCTACACAGCGAAGCGCCTACGCATCCATGACCAAACGCACAAACACTAAAACGTTCGCACACGTCCTCTATTCCCCGCCACCATGCATATATATGTATATGGACGTCGTTATCATCAGAAGCGGATCTTTGAAAGGATTTCGGCACCCCTCTCCCACGATAGCCTCCCCTTTTCCCTCCCTCTTCCCCTTCAGCGCTCGCCCCCACTGCACTCCATTTCGCCCGTGCCTTCGCCAGTTTCGCCACAAGGGGTCAAAAGCCTCGCCGAGCACATCGCAAAACAGCGCGCATACCCATTTCGTCGGCAAGAATAGCGCCTCCCGTCAAAAAAGATCGCAAAAGCCAGTCAACACCTTCTTCTTGATGCGGTTTGAGCGTAATTCCATCTCGGAGCGGCATGCCTTCAATAGGACGACCTGATGCGTGACGACACGACCTATACGCTCGCCTCGTGAACTTCTCTGCCTCCTCGACCGCTTCATCCTCGAGCTGCTCCAAGACATCGGAGAGAGAACGCTCCACAGAGAGACGCGAGACACTCGCCCCCCCTCCCCCCCCACGACCTCCCCGACGTCCAGCTGGTGCGGCGATGTTTGCTGAGAAAAAAAGACACTCGCAGTTTTTACACCATCGGCGTCTTCCCCACGCAGACGAACAGCCCTTAAGACCTCTGACACCGCTTGCCTCTCCTGTCTCTTCAAAGAAGGAAAAAGACGCGCGCCGAAGCGGCAGAAAAACAAACATCACCAGGCATGAGAGAGGCTAGGAGGAAGCCTCCTCAGCCGTTCAAAGAATCCTATATGGACTGCAGTGCAAATCGAGGCAGATGCCACCTCCTCTCCTCTCCCCCCTTCCACAACGGTGTTTTCTCCGGTGCATTCGGCTGTCCTTCTCTTTCTCTCCTTTCTCTCCCACTTAGACCAACAACAACCCCACCACCACCCTTTCCCCTCCCCCTCCCCCCTTCCTCTTCCTCCTTGCCCCCAATCTCCACACGAACACACGCACACACCCTCGCATGTGCACACATATATATAAATACATACAATGCACATACGCACACACATATATATAAATACATACAATGCACATACGCACACACATACATATACAAATACATACGCAGCCACCAACGAGAGGGCAACAAAACAGCAGGCGACGTACCCTTGAGCGTTCTGGCGAGCGCCTGTAGGATCTTTGGATTCACGAACGGTCCCAAGTCTTTTTGATGGACGACGAGGAATCTGTTTCTGTAGCGCATGATCTTGGTTCTGAAGCGTTCGTAGTTTCTGGCTCGTTCCTTTCGCTTCGTTTCGATTTCTTGTCGCGTCCATCGCTTGTGCATTTGATTGGCGAGGGGATCAAACCCCTTGCACACAGGGCACTCCCACTCCTCGCCAATTGAATCCCAGTCGACATCCACGAGACACGACGGATGAAAAGAATTCACGCAAAAGTCACAACCCAGCAGCTTTCCAGGCCGTTGACAGACATAGCAAGTGCTGCTGTTCACTCCGTCTCCTCGCCGAGGCGCAGTGGCTCCCCTCCCTAAGCGGCGAATCTCGTCGGTGTTAAATCCCGCGGGATTGCAGTCGGGGCAAAACCACTTCTCCTCGTCAGGCTCGATCGTCAGCTTCAAACAAGACATGTGATACGAATGTGGACACCCGTCACACATGATCAGCTTCCCGCCAGACTCGTCCTCGATGTCGGCCTGTAACAAACGGACATTCATTCGTGTGCAAGCCAACGTACAGACATATACATACACATGCATGTACATGAATAGATGTGCACGTATGTGTATACGTGCGCATACGTATAGAGAGAGAAGAGAAAACATACAAACGGTCAGAGAGACAGAGAGAGAAGGAAAAACAGATGGAAATACAAACACCAAGACAGTCACACATGTAAATGTATAGAGGCGCTGTGCGGTGTCCATAGTGAAGTGCAAACGAGGCAGTTCTTTCTCGGCAGCCGCGCGGCAGCTTCAAGAGAGAGACACAGAGAGAGAGAGTCAGAGAGCTTGCAAGGTGGACGGAGGAGGGGCAAGCCACAGCAAAAAAGTGTAGGTGCAAACAGATTCGGCAGAGGCTTTCATCGATGCGCATTCTCCAGGAGCAGTCGACGCAACTCAGAGAGATGCCACAAGTCATGACTTGGAAAGCGGCGAGAATCTGAGGTGTCACTACACCGCGCTCCCTTCCTGCCTCCTCGTTCTCTCCGACATCAGGAAACAGGGGGTTCGCAGTCGAAAAAGGCCGTGTGTGGCTTGCCTTTCTGCACAAAAAGCACTTGTCGTCATTCGTGATTTCGTCTTCTTCAGCCTCCTCCAGACACTGCGGACAAAGCCAGCTGTTCAGATCGACGACTTCGCCGGAAGCGACGATAGCCTCCTGCTGGAGGCACTCCATGTGGAATCGTTTGGGGCACGCAGTGCATTCTACGACGGAATCCTCGCTTCTGCTGACGCTGTCTCTGCAAATGTGGCACCACATGGCGCCTCCGCGTCGCCTCCCCACAGCGCCGATGTGCGAACCGGCTAGCAGATCATCTGCTGCGGCTTCGCGTGCAGCGCAAGACCGTTGCGGTCTTCCGCGCGCTTTGCTGCTGCTGCTGCCTGCCATTTTCCTGCTCCAGCGCGTGCTTGCTCCCTAGAGGAGCATCAGAGAACCCCTGGAGGAGCCGTCCCCAAAGCCATAATACTTTGGTAGACGAGTGAAGCGCAAGGAGGAAGGCAGGAGGCGAGCAGCCGGCGGCGCGACTTGCAGCCGAGGGAGGCTTCTGTGGCGCGAGCCTCTCTGCGTCTGCCTGCCGGGGAAGGCTCTGTGCCTCCCCGCCCTTGCCGCTCCTGCTGCTTCTGGTGTCAAGACAGGGGACGGAGTGGTGCAGGAAGGAGGGGCAGGAAAGCGGGGAGAGGCTCGGAGGCTGCGGGGTTCGATTTCTGGGAGGCCGTCCTCGAGAGCAATGCTCAAAGGCTGGCAGGATTTCGGCGAGTTCGAAGGGAAGATAGAGCCGTGCACCACTCTGCGCGCCGCATGAACTGCCTGCAGGTGCTTGCTGCTGCGCGTTAGAAGCGGCGGTTCGGTGCGAGAGGCAGCCTTGTCGGGGCGCCGCCTCCGCTCAGTCCGCCGGTGAGAGCAACAATTGGGCGTCTTGCAGCGGCGAGTGCTCGGTGTTACTGCAGAAGAGAGTGCGAGAGGCTGCCGGTGCTGCAGCGGCAGCAGCGGCGTCTGCTGCTGCCGGCGCTACGGGCTTGCGGGAGGGCCGTTGCGGCGCGAGGTGGGTCCGAAGGCGATGAGATTAGAGGGAAACAGAGGGTGAAGAAAACAAGAAACAGAGGATGCAGCAACTGCGAAGCTCTCCCGAGCCGCGCCAGCAGCGGGCTGCCGGTGTCGCTGGGCAGCAGAAAGGAATGAGCGCGGGGTAGAGGGGGGCGTTGATGGGTGCTTCTACGGAGGGAGTTCGAGGGCGGTGTAGCTCTCGCTGAACCGCAATGGGGAGTGGATGAATGTATGCGAAGGAGACGGAGAAGCCATTACGCGCCAGTTGCTGTCTTTAAAGCGGCCAGAGACACATTAGCAGTGCGAACGCAGAGACGGCCCTCCCAAGGCGAGTGTGATCTCTCGCGCTGCCGCTGGCTCCTTCGAACAGTCGCAGCGGAACCCGTCTTCACGCGCCGCGCTTCTCTGCCTACGAAATGTCTTTACGCCATTCCTCACCATTATTTCCATCAATCCAAGCAGCCCCTCCACGCATTGCGGCGCAAGCCAGCAGCAGCAGCCCAGAGACTTTGCAGGCTACAGAGCCGACGCGGCTGCACCACTCCAACACTCCAGCGTATAAGCCCTGCAGCAGTTGCTCCCCCCCCACCCCTCCACGACGTTTTTGCAGCCGCGTTTTTAGCAGACAATCCGGATGCACGCATTACTTGCTCATTCTCCGTGTTTCTCCTCGGAAGCCCCTCGCCTTTCGCTGCGTTGCTGCAGGATTTGGCTGGAGTCTTGCCGTGTTACACCTAGTCCTAGCGCCTCTCCTCGCTTCCTCACTCCTGTGCAAATCTCGCCTGCAACTGCGCCTCCTTCTTTCCCGTGAAACGCCCACCGAGCTCCCTCTGCAATCCGCTTCTACTGGGAACTGGGGGGCCCCCTGCGCCGCGTTTTCGCCGCGGCAATCTGTTTGGGGTCGCTTTCCGCGATTTCGCTCTGGCCTGGCTGGACCCCCGCAAGGGTGAATCCGCCGTTGCTCGGAGGCGTATGCGGCTTTAGAACGGAGCTGCGGGGGTGGCAGAGGGATCCCTTTGTTGGGTGGACGGGGAATGACGGTAGTCTTCTCTGTGGGGGGAAAGCTGTACCGGCTGATCATCAAGGTGATGGCTAGAACGCCAGTCGCCAAGCTTTAATGGCTTCCTTTCGTGTGGAAACGGAGGCGTCGTTCCAGCATAGTTCGCGCCGCTCATCAAAACACGCGAACGCTGCACCCTGTAAGCTGGGTGGTCGCTCAAAGGCTAGCTGCTTCATGCTTTCTCAGGCATTCGCGTACGCACCAAAGGACATTCAAATATATTTGGGTGTGCTATGTGTTGACGAGTTCCCCTTTATGTTCAGAATCTTGAAAAGTTTCCGGTTTTCCCTTGATTCTGCTGCATGCTAAATGGGCTGTCTGCCTTTTCACCTAGCGTGTTGACGCAGTGCGCCCCCTTGACTCTTTCCACGTGGATCTACGGGTATTTTAGCTTCTCCGTGTCATCTGGGTAGGCTACTGAGGGAGTCCTGCTATGGAATGAGGATGGCAGTGCGCAGTTGCTGAGAGACTTCCATGTGCGCCTCCCGTAGTAGCACACTCACGTGGTTGTTCATGATCGATTCTACGGCACCTATTGAATCTGAATAGGGAAGCACAATTGGGCACTATCTAGGCGGTTGATCATTCCGAAAGGGCTAAAGTGAGGTGTTTGGCTGCTCAGCGACCTGTTTCCGGTTTCACTGTAGTTCGTTCAACTTCGGCGGAGGGCGTGTTGCCCACCGTTTGCAGATATACCGCAATCATCCACGGGCTTGCCCCTGCACCGATGTCAGCGCTGTTTTACTGCGCGTAATCTACTGACCACCTATGAGGCATCACCCATAACAGGCATGCGTATCGGTTGACGCAGCCTTAGCAAAATGATCCTCTTGAGGTTTAAAGGCTTTTTCGCACCCTCATGGCGGCATCAGCGACACTTTGTTACTGCGAAAAGCCCGCAGTGCAGCCCTTAAAAGGCTCTACAATGCTGATATTGTGCACACAGACTTCTCCCCCCCAAATGCGAAACACTCGCGCCCACCGGAAACAGACAGTCGGCGCTGGATCTGTTCGTTTACACGGCGGACGGGGGACTGTTTGGTTTGTTTGTCAGTGAGAAGGGGCACAGCTGGAAGTGCCGCTCAGTCCTCTTCGGAGTAGACGTATGGTACGTCGTTGTACAACTTCTGCAGTCGCAGCACACGGGAAGCACGCACCGAGACGCAGCACACCATTTACCCTTGGGGCACTGGTGCGATTCGGCGAACGCCGAACCGCAGTTTCAAACACCATTCAAAAAACACGGCCTTACCCCATGGTTGACAGATCTCCAGATTTTGTTCCAAGTTTCACTCCATACGAAGGATGTGATCATGCCGCCGCTTACTACAAACATCCAGTAGGACCAGTTGTTCTTCAGAACGCAGTCATACAGCCTGCAGTGATGCGTGCACCCAGGCATACCCAGACCACACCGTGGCCAAGAACATGAAGCAGTCATTCCCGGCTATCTTTTCAGCAGCAAGTAACAATCTGGACTTCAAGTGAGGAGCTACTTGTATACAAAAAGGCGCAGGAGCTGGTGAGGCGCTCGTCGCCCAAACAATACCATGAACACGCCAAAGTACCCTTTCGAGAACAACCAGAGGCGTATGCTACGCGGGAGGCACACGCCACGGTAGCCACCATGGCACCAGAACTACCCTCTTCAAATGCGCAAAAGGGCATATTTCGCCAGAAAATAGGGAGCAAAAAAAACATCGTGCTAGGAGTTCAAAGGTACAGCGAGCATACTTGGTGGCATTGAGAAGGCGGAAGAAGGGGGCCAAGACGTCCTTATCCTTGCGACTGTTCTTCAGGCCCTTCCAAATCCAGGCTGGGTAATCATCTGCAAACGGATTTCCAAATCGCATGTTCTTAAATATGCCCTTGCTCGGACCGGAGTGCCCAGCGGGTGCTGCTGCCAGGCAGAGCCGCGAGAAGCGGAAAAATCCCTGCATCATGAGGGCAAATCTTAGAAGACTAGAAACCAATTGAGGAATACTGCAAGCTGGGAGGGGAATGGCGTTCAAACTCTTCCCGTTGCTGCTGGCGTGCCGACTTGCTGAGAGCAGCGACTTGCATGCAACGAACGGACGAAAGACCCACGGCTCTCACGGTAGTTCTCTCCCATCATCTGCACATGTATTCTCCCCTCCTACCTTATTTAAATCTACTTAAAGAATGCTTTTAAAGCATAGCTACGACCCTGGAGACTGCAGGCACCCTTTGGGATCGAGGAAAGTACTGTATTTCGAATGACGCTTTAACGTGGAAACTCGTCTAGGTAGCTCATGCGGCATCGAGGCGTTAGAGTGCGCTGCTGCTCGAGAGCTTACCCTCTACTCGTAGCCACCTTCCTAAAGTCGATACGTAGTACAGCTAATCATCCGAAGGCACGTAGGGCCGTGTGTATTTTGCATCTACATGCGTGTAAGTTGAAGGAAAAGCAGGAAAAATATGCGTGGACATACTGCGTGCTCCATCTTATTCATTAAGCTTGACAGCTTTCGGACTCGACGTGCTTCGCCCAAAGGATTAAAATATACTTCGCTCGTCTAAAACTATGTCGAGGGAAGCACGTGAGGCGACTGAGTACCAACCGACAACTTTACGACTCACGAATATGTTGTGTAAGCACGTGAGGCGACTGAGTACCAACCGACAACTTTACGACTCACGAATATGTTGTGCCCCTTGATTTGGGTGCGTGGCTTGGTCACCTGGGCTCCATGGGGGGCTGATAAACGCATTTTAAGCTTTACTTCTATACAGGAGCTCAACTAACAGCACTGGCAGTAGAGACACGGCTTTCGTGTCAACAACTGTTTCAAAGAGGCCGTCTAGCACCCCGCTAAGGACTTCCATTGGGAGACGCTTAAGCCTCAAGCCGCGCGCTAATTCGATTGGGAAGCTCCTAGATATCCTTCCGAATGGCTCCTTTCACGTTCGCGCTCGGCCCCCTCCGGCTCTGGCGGGAGGGAGGAAGGACAGAGAGAGCTAGGAGACACACTGCTCGACCCTCTCTGTGCTCCGCGGATTCACAGCTAGCTGCACATAGTATCTAACGCAAAGGCGGGCGCCACGTATCCAAATTGCGTTGAGCAGGCTCTACTCCACAGCAAAAGAAATGAAAACAACCACTTAAGTAGTCAATTCTATGCAAATAATTGTCCATCAAAGAAAAAACTCGGAGCAGGGAGCGAGTAGGTGTGGCTTAGCCAGCAACAAGCCTGAGGGATCCTGCCTTTTCGTGCCGATTATGATGGCTCCTTTGGTAGCTCTTTACGCGTGGATGGCCTCCTGTACAGACCACCACGGGATCGAAGTTGGTTCCCCTGAATGCCAAGTACCCCTAGAGGGGTGTCTCCTATAGGCTTTTTAATGCCCACGCACTCGAGGGTAGCTCCGCAGAAGCTTTTGAGCAAACCTTAGCCTCCGAATTCTCGTGTGGTTTGCGGCTGGCATGGGCCTGGTGAGCGCTAGTTACAGGCAACCCTGGCGCCTTTTAGCCAGCACGACGCCGACTGCGTCCAAGCACCCCTCTGCGTCTCTCTACATAGCTATCAGGGTAGCCTCTTTTTGGCCTTTTTAACCACTTGTGCATACTCGTCCGAAAGCGACTGGAGGCGGCCTTGTGTGGCGCTTTTGGTGCTTTTGGTGCTTTTGTTTGGAAAAGGAGGACGCTACAACATCGCACGGAAGCAGTCTCAGCAGCACTGCTGACTGACCCCTGCGGCGTCAACAGGACTGCCGCTGCTGCGGCGACTTGGTTGCACAGACTGTAGCTACACACGAGGGAGGATCATGGCGTCTGCGCTCAGCAGCAACGTCCAAGAAATCCGCGAGACTAGGCGCGCAATTCTCGCCAGAAAGACAGAACTGCGCGCTGCGCTGCCCCTGCTGCAGCTACCACCCCGTCGGCTTCGGAAGATCCGTGGCTAGCTCCTTCTGCGCAGCTCGACGGGGAGGCAGCAGACGCAAAGCCGTGAAGCGGTCAGGGAGCAGGCGCGCAAGAAGTGCTTCCAACGTCTTTCGCGACTCCTCCCGCAGCTCCTGATTGGCCACACAAAGGCAGGAGAAGCAGAAAAAAGTCGATGCGCTGCTGCCCCTCTGTTGCCTGTGACTGCGAAGAGTGCTACTCCGACCAAATGAGATGCCCGCTGCCACACCCCCTGTGAGTAGAAGCCGCCGCTCAGCGGCTCCTACCGCATGCACTACACCCTCAGCTGGTGACGCGTAGAAGCCTTAGGAGAAGCCGCACATGCCGCACTGCTTGCGAAGCGCGAGCGAGCAGCTGCAGCGAGGGTCAGAAAGAAGCGACACAGCACCAGCAACGGCAGCAAAACGCGGCTAAAAGGCTCAAAGCCTCACCCGTGACTCCGCAGCCACCAACTCCAACACCATTCCCAGAACGAGAGAGGCGTTCTCCTCGACTCTGCGCATGCAAGAGAGGCGGCAGGAAAGCGGCAGAAGAGCATAAGAGTCTGCAGCCCCAGCATGCACGCCGCCGCAGGAAGTGCTGCTGCGCGTGCTGCGCATCGCGCTGCTAAGGAGGCTTCCCCCTGGGATCCACAGAGTGCAGAAACTTCTGCCCCAGTTGCTGGTGTCGCCATCGCCTACAGACTGTCAGGAAGTTGCGAGACGCCTTGAAGAACTGCAGACGAAACGAGGGTTGCAAGGCTGGCTAATGCTCGAGCTCCTTCGGCCTGAGGCAATCCGCAAAAAGCATGCACGGTAGGGAAGCCACTTGGCTGCCTCGTGAAAGCGCTGTCTGTCGCCCTTCTCCCCGGAGATTCGCGTCGCGAAAGCCGCCAAGCAGCGCGCAGCACAGCAGCAGCGAGCTGGACGCATCCCTCTTGTCGGCTCGTCGCAGGCAGCCTCACCAGATCTGCCTGTTGCACGGCTCTTAACGCGTCTTGCGCGGCTCGCCCCTTCGCTGCAGGATCGTCCCTGTGCTGCAACTCGTGATCCCGCGGAGCCTCGGCTAGCTCGCGCAACTCCTGCTCCTTGCGCAGATACTGCGCAATGTGCCAGCGGCAGAAGCGCATGTAGCGGGAGATCGCAAAGGCGCTGAGGCGAGCCCCTCCACTGGCCGTTGCCGCCTCTGCCGACGCTGAGTCTCCCGCAGAGAGGGGCGGCAGACATTCGCCATCGGCTCGAAGAAGGCTGTCTGGAGAGTGCTCCGCACGGAGAGCAGCAAGCAACAGAGCTGCGGCAGCAGCGGCTGCCTCCCGCTGCTGCTTCAACAAGCCTGGAAGTTGCTTCAGCTCCGACATAAAGCCGCAGCGCTGCAGCTTCGCGCGGAGAGAGACCTATGCAGCACGCGAGAGCCAACAGCAAAAACTCCGGAGCATGCAGCAGAAATAGCAGCAATAGCAGCAGCAGCAAAGGGAGGAAAAGGCAGACGGAGGCGTCTCAGCTGCAGCACGCGCTTCGGCCCTAACTGGCAGTCATGGCTTACTTGCTCATTGTACAAAAACGCGAAGAGGAAGGACCCCTCGAAACAGCAGAGCAAAAGCCGCAGAGCCTCTAACGGCATGGGCAAGAGATTCACGACTTCCTTCTGAGCAACACGCAACGCACCCTACGACGCCACCGTACGCGGCAAACAAAGCAGCAAAAAAGAGGCAAACAAAGCGGCAATCAAAGCAGCAAAAAAGACGTCAAACAAGACGGCAATCAAAGCAGCAAACAAAGCGGCAAAAAAGAGGCAAACAAAGCGGCAAAAAGGACGGCAATAAAAGCGGCCAAAAAAAGGTCAAAATACGTCGGCAAGCAGCGAAAGAGCAGCAGAAAGCGGCAAAAAGGCGGCAAAATGCTCTTCTTTCGGAGGCTTTTTCTCCGCTTTGGCCGCCTTTTACACACAAGTACGCTAACCTGGAGCACGTCGATCAGCAGAAGCTGAGCCACGCATCGCGTGGCTACGTCTTGAGGGTCGAAGGGTAGCTTGGCAAGGTTATCGAAGGGGCTTCCCGAAGCATGCATCGCCTTACTGGAAGCGCTACTACTGCAAACCGACTCTGGAAGGCAACGCAGCAGCAGCTGCCTGTCCTCAAGCGGCAGCGGATCTCCTGCTGAGGCTACATCGGTGCATGCAGAGGCTTCCTCGTACAGCAACCCCTCCAGCACTGCGTTGGAGACGTGAGCTTCAGCGTCTCTGTCTGCTCTCGTCGGCTGCTGCTGCAAGTCGTGTTGCTGCTGCGAGTTGCTCCAAGGAAAGCGCTCGAAATACAAACCGAAAGAAAGTCGGAGAGCTTCTGGAGGCACTGCGGCGCGCGCGAGGAGCGCTCGAGGGGCCGTCTGGTTAAAGGCATCCTGAGAAGCACAAAATACGGCGAGCAGGAAAGCAACAGCGCGGCTGGAGAGAGAGACAGCCTGTTCGCTGTGAAGAGGAGGCGGCAGCAAAAGGAGCAAAAGGAGCACTTTCCACAAAGCAAGATAGCGAGAGACAGGTAGATAGTGAGATAGAGAGAGAGAGGGAGAGAGATAGAGAGAGAAATAGATAGAGAGAGAGGGAGAGAGATAGAGATAGAAATAGATAGAGAGAGAGGGAGAGAGATAGAGATAGATAGAGAGAGACAGACAGACAAAGAGAGACAGATAGACAGACAGAAAGAAAGACAGAGACACACACCGTCGCTTCCTTGCGAGCAGAGGGCGTTCCGCTATGAACTGCCCAGTGCAACTGCAGACAGCCGACAGCTGATGCATCCTACCCTAATCGTTTGAACCAAGACAGCTGTCTGGTGTCGAGAGCAGCAGCTCTGAGAGGGCAGCAGACTTACCGCAACAGCTCCAATGACGGCAGACCACTCCGCATTTTCTACTGGCTGTTGCTTCAGCAGAGGACGTTTGAAGAGGGAGCGCAGCAGACGTCGAAAAGCCTCAGCACTTAGACGAGCACCAATCTCCGTTGGAGGATCGTTGAACCCTCCGAGCTGCAGCAGAAGAATCACCGCATGGAAAGAGCAGCATTGGTAGCAGCAACAGCAGCATGTGGCAAGAGGAGTATGCGGCAGCAGTAGCAGTAGTAGCATGCGGCAAAAGGAGTATGCGGAAACAGCAGCAGCAGCAGCAGTAGTAGGAGTATGCGGTAGCAGTAGCAGTAGCATTGGCAGCATTAGTAGCAGCATTGGCAGCATTAGTAGCAGCATTAGTAGCAGCAGCAGCAGCAGCAGCGAGGGTTGCGTTTGTCAACAAGTACTTTTCGGCGTCGCCGATAGGACGTGCAGCCCAGCAGACATCACGTGAACACAAAAAGCGAGCAGAAAAAAAGGTTTGTCTTCCATTAGACAACACGAGACGTGTGAAAGGCACAGTCGATCGGTTGACACAGAGGACAGGAAGCATGCAGACTAAGGGGGTCGTATACGTATAGATATATAGACATACATATATATATGTATGTAGATATGCATATAGATATACATATATATATATATATGGATATACATATATATATATCTATATATATATAGATATATATCTATATATAGATATATATATATAGATGCACATATACACATGGATATATTGATATGTAGATGTGCATATACATGCAAAAAAAGTTGAAAGCCACCTTCGCACTGGAGAGAAAGAAAGCCGCGGAAAAAGAGCAGTGAGGGAGGCAGTGAGGGAAAGCTCCTGCGTGTGTGCGACACTGGTTGGAAGTATTTCCTTGCGAGGCACAGGCGAGGAGGATGCGTGGAAGAAGACTCCTACCACGAGCGCCACAAAGGGCCTGAGGAGATGCCGCAAGAAGGCAAAATGCGTGACAAGCAATACACCTAAAGCCTTTAAGGCTAGCCAGCAACTATTTGCTGCCGCTTCTGCTGAATCCAGTCTTGGCAAGGGGGTTTCCCAGACGCTGCTAGCCTCGCATTCCTCTGTCTCTCCTTCCTTTCGAGGAGCAGCGAACAGCGAGGCAGCCGTGACGTTTTTGAGTCGCTCAGGCGGCTGCTGCAGTTGCTGCTGCTGCTGCTGCTGCTTGCAGCTGTGGAGATCAAAGAAGAGATCCTCGAAGACAGGGAAGAGGGCACCCTTCAGCACAATCTGCCACAGTTCTAGGGAGGGCGGAGGTTCTTCGTGGACGTGTCTGGTGGAAAGCAGCCTTGGCTGCTGCAGCTGCTGCTGTTGTGGGTTGGCGGTTTTGCGCCGCGCGTCAGTCGCTTCCTGCGCTGTTGCTTTCGGAGCGAAGCTCGCTGAGGCTGACACTGCAAGCAGAGCGCCGTGGTGCTGCAGCAAGCGGAAGAGCGCGGCAAGGGCAGTCTCTCGTCTCCCCGCGAGGCTTTCCGGAGCAGGCATCTTGCTGCTCGCCTCCGAGGAGAAGCGTGTCTCTGGGAGCAGTGTCTTTTTGCCAGCGGCTTCTGGCACGCGTGGTGGCATGCGAGCTGTCTCCGCATGCTGCTGCTGCGTTTGTAGTGGCGCAGTGTCTTGGCTGCTGCGAGGCGTTGCAGCGAGGAGAGAAGCTTTCCGCATCACAGCACGGCTTTGCGGAGTCTCACGCGAGGATCTTGCCGCTGCAGCTGCCGCTGCAGCAGCGACAGCGACGGGAGGGCGAGAAAGCGCAGCTGTTTCTCCCGCTACTCCAAAGCCGCCCGCTGCACCTCCTCCGCAACGACATGCGAGCTGCCCAAGAGCCAAGAGGATCGCAACGAAGGCTGAAAAGTTAAACGGCCTCGCAGCTGCGTTCGCTGGTGTGGTGGGGTGTGGGAAGGCTGCAAGACTGCTCTTCTCGGAGGCTGAAGCGCGTTGTTTGTGGAGCAGAAAGGCTGCACTCGCTTCCTCGTTGCCGCCACTTCCTGTTGCTGCTGGTGCTGCTGCCTCGTCGACAGCTTGGGAGCCGTTGTTGCTTTTCTCTTCCTGCTGCGGCTGCTGCTGCGGCTGCTCCCGCAGATCAGAGGACGCTTCGATGAGTGCCAGCGCAGTGTCTTCGAGCTTGTGAATGGCGTCCGTCGCTAGATGCGCGTCGAAGGGGTTCGCTGCTATGAGGGAGAGAGTCGACACGGCGTGCGAGATGTCTTCCCCCACCAGCGCGGGGAGGTAGCCGCTGAGGGAGTCGACCAAAATCGAGAATACCAGCGAGAGCCGCTGTTTTAGCTGCTCGCGAACCGCTGCTGCTCCTGCTGCTGCTCCTGCTGTCTCCTCTTCCTCCTCAGGCAAGCTTCCACCCAAGGTGCTGGCGTCTCTGCTGCCAGCCGCTTTGGAAACAATGTCTGTGGCTGCGGCATGCAGACAGAGGAGCACCACTCGCCATCCAGATTGGATCTGCTTGCCGCGGGAGGCAATGAGGTGCTTGAGGATATCTAGAACATACTCCTTCACGGCTTCTTGGCTGCCTGGGTTGCCGATCACCGTGAGAAACGGCAGCAAAAACTCCTCTCGAAAGTGGAAGAGCGCGCGCTCGCGTTTCCTCTGGCTCAGGAATTTTGCGGCCAGCTGTCGAAGAGCATCCAAAGCGCAGAGGCGAACATACACCGAGGGATGCAGACATGCGAACGCAAAGTGATCGCGCAACGAACTCCATATTCTAGCCCACGTGAAGTAGACGCGGTTCATGTTGTAGTCTGTGACTTCCACGAGCTTCTGGAGCGAGAAGATCCGGGGAGGCTTCTCTTGGTGCAGCTCGATCGACGAGACTTGCTGCAGCGCCGTCACGAAGGAAACTATCGCCGAGCCGCTCAGGTGTATCGACCGAATGAAGAGCATGTCGATGCATGTCAAATCCACCTCGCTCTCCACCAGTGCCACGTTTTCCGAGAGGAGGTGGCCGTTCACGCCTCCAAGGAGAGTGGCGCCACACGCAGAGTCCACCTCGCGTTTCTCGCGAAGCGGCAGGGGGGGGGGAGGAGCCGCTCCCCACAATCCGACTGCCGTTTCGCCAGGAGGAGCCTTCTTCGCATGCAGCTGCTGAGCGATCCGTTGTTGGTCGGGGGGGAAGTAATTGCGATCCTGGAGAGCGGCACGTTCTTGGTGGTGGTGCTGCTGCTGCACTTTCGCTTCATCTGTGAGACAGCCGCGCACTGAGGAGGCGGAGGAGCCACTCGTGGAGGCTTTCGCAGACTGCAACTTGGGAGCTTTGTGGCGCTTCTCTTCTTTCCCCTGCGCATGCGCTTCCGAGGCTTTCAAGTACTGACAATGAAGCGTCTGCAGCAGATCCAGCTGCGACACAAGAAGGAGCACTTCCTTCCACGCCGACTCGAAAGCCTCCCCCTCCTCCAGAGCCGTGAGCAGCAGCAGCTGCGCTGCATGCGCACGCCAGCGCTGCAAAGGGATCTCACTCGCGCGATCAAGCGAAGAGAGACGACGCAGCGTCATAGCCGTCTGGTCTCGGCAGCGCCGCTGCCGTTCGCGACAGCAAAGAGACAACAACGCTTCCATCCCCCCAAGCGCCTTCTCGACGGCTGCCTCCGCAGGAGGAGATGCGGAATCGCTCAGAACGTCGGAAAACGCCTGCAGGAGGGGGAAGCCACTCGCATCCAAAAAGAAGTGAATGAGATCCGCCATTTCCTCCTCAGACAGCGGCGTGCATGGAGGACGCTGCTGCCGCTGCTGCTGCTGCCGCAGCAGCTCCTGCTGCCCCTTCAGACACCCCCTGGGAGCACTAGCCTGCTCGCCAGTGGCTGGCGAGGATATCCCTCTGCGTTCTCCGCTGGAGCCTCTCCCGCGTGCATGTCTCGCAGCATAGTACCGCTCGTTCTCTTCCTCTAGCACCCATTCTTCCTTCGCCACGTGGTCATAGAGTGCCTCAAGAAACGGCTTGGGCAAATCCTTACCCCCGTTGATTCCCCTGTTATTCTTGACGAACTCCTCTTTCGTCATTTTTTGATGCGGCTTCACTTCTTTGGAGTGCAAATCGGTGTGCAACATGATAAGCGAGAACGCCAGGATGTAGCAGCAGTCCGCTGATTCCAACACGCAAGACGTTGCCACCTCCTCTCCCTGCAAGCGCCGCTGCTGCTGCTCCTGCTGAGACTCTTGAGGACTGCCAGGCTGATTATCCAGGAAAAAGCGTTCCGCAAACTTCTCGAGAATGCGATCAATCTTCTGAGCCTCCCCCGGCAGACGAAACAGTCGCAAAAACTCCCTCAGCGCCACATCCAGAGGACGACCCTATTGGAAGAGCAGCAGAGGCGCAGGAGGCGTAGAAGGAGTCAAAGAGAGGACGAGAAGGAGGAAGGGGGAAATGCGGCATGGTGAGAAGCGAAGCTAAAGGAACGACGTAAACACGCACGAAATGCAGAAAGGCAAAACAACACACGAGAGACGATCGGCGTAAACGCGGAGCACAGCACTCCAAAAAACGCATACCCCCACATACAACACAGCGCAGAAAGAAAGCAATCAGCAGACATACCTACATATATACACATACATCTATATGTACATATGCATCTATATATAAATATACATCTATATACAAATATTGCATTCTCTAGACACTTGTTTGAGAGGCACGAGAGCGAGGAAGCATACGGCATTCGTTTTCCGTAAGAGGAACGCTTCTTTCCCCCCTTATGTTAGACTGAAGACACTAGCTACTACAGCCAACAGCCACTTCTCCAGATATGCCCCTGCTAAAGAAGCTCTGCCTGCTATACGAAGTGCTGCAGCGTCACACAGACTGTTCGGCAGTCTGTGCGAAAAGCGATTTAAAAGGAAGCGAACAAAGCAGCCCACACCCAGCCAAGGAAGCCCTCTAAGCCTTCTTTCTCCCTCCCTGCTGCCTCTAAGCCTTAACTCTCCCTCCCCGCTGCCTCTAAGCCTTCTTTCTCCCTCCCCGCTGCCTCTCAGCCTTCTTTCTCCCTCCCCGCTGCCTCTCAGCCTTCTTTCTCCCTCCCCGCTGCCTCTCAGCCTTCTTTCTCCCTCCCCGCTGCCTCTCAGCCTTCTTTCTCCCTCCCCGCTGCCTCTCAGCCTTC